GTCCGCGATCGTGAGACATGGTGGTTTCGGTGAGGGTGATTGGGCGAGAATCTGGAGGCTGGAAGCTGAGATGTGGCACGACCACGGGGTGGTTCTGCGTTGGTGAGAAGCTTTGGTGAGTGAAGGTGGAATTAGTGCATGGGTATGGTTGTGGTGGTGACGGGGAAGAAGCCTGGTGGTGGAGGAGAATAGGGTTGGATATATGGGTTCAAATGAGGGTACCATGTTGGGTGCTCGAGAGTGGGGAGGTTGCAGCCAGGGTTCTGGTGAAGGAGGTGGGTGGCGGGTTATAGAGGAGGTTAGTGAAATTGAGGGAGAGGAAGGAAGGAGTTAGGGAGCTTGAGTGAGGTGCGGAGGAAGTGTGAAAATGTAGGTCCGAGTGAGGGTTTTTTCTTTTTTAATTTAACATTCATAGGTAAATGAGTAGGTAAAGTAGTAAAAAACATTACCTACCTCCTACATCCGTAGGTAATGCATAATCATCTCATCCGTAGGTAAATTTCGTAGGTAATAGATAATTTACATACGGATAGAATTCCATAGATAATATTTGTAGGTAATGTATATTTTACCTATGTATTTTTATCTGTAGGTAATATTTTGTAGATAATAGCCATTTTTTTGTAGTGTTAATGTGTTGCTTGAGAGAGAGAGAGTGGATTCATGGAGTTGGGTAGTTAGAGGTAAATCAAGGTGACCGGAGCGATTATGTGACATATGTTTCTCATGTACACCAACCTTTGAAGAGTCTAATATTGACTAAGTTATTCGCATTTTTAGAAATGCTAAGCCATGATTTTTAGAAATGGATTTTTTGAATTATTATTTATATTTATCTAGATGCCCCCTCCCCTTTATACTATATTTTTATTATTTATTATAATTCACTATTGATATTATCTCGGTAAATTATTTATTTATTACATTTTATTTTTATTACATTTTGAATTATTATTTATATTTATCTAGATGCCCCCTTCCCCTTTGTACTATATTTTTATTATTAACAAATTAAGAGAATTGTCACTAGTAGGATTCGAACTCAATACCTTAAAATTTAAGGTTAATACTCTAACCACTAAACTACTATAATTTTTTAATAAAAACTAACAAATAAATTATATTTATATACAAGTAAATGTATATCCATGTAAATATATAAATATAAAAAATAAAAATACAAATATATTTATATATTTTGATATATTTATATATTTATATATTTTAAATATATACTTGATGGACATATCTATCGATAACTAATTGTTAATTTACCGACGGATATATCCGTCGGTAACTAATTGTTAATTTATCCATCGGTAATCACTCGGTAATTTTTGTCGGTAATAACTTATTTTTCGACGATTACATATCCATCAGTAATTAATGATTTTCTTGTAGTGGCCTTGACCGAAGAAGAGTCAAGAAATTATTATTAGTAGTACGAAGTAAATAAGTTGACAAAAGCAAGTGTCGATAGTGTAGCAAGTAATGAAGTTAGGTTAGATTGTATTTAGGATCATTTACCTTTGGGTTTTGAGAAATTAGTTATATAGGGGTGCAAGAAGGTTGAAGCACAAGATCCTTTTAAAGAAGTCAATTCGGGGGACAAAGTATAAAGAAAGTCATCTTATGTTAGCAATTTGAAGAGTGTTAAGATGAAAGAAAAATAAGTAAAAATGTTCAAAGAATATAAGGATTGTTTAGCGTGGAAATATGATGAAATTTCAGGGTTAGAGAGAAATTTGATTGAGTATTATTGATTACCTATTATTGAAGGAAATAAGTTAGTTAAGCAAGCTCGAAGAAAGTTTGCACCTAAAATAATGAAGAAAATCAAAGAAGAAATCAAGAGGTTTTTAAAGGATAAATTTATCAAAATAACCAAGTATGTTGACTTGCTTTCTAATATTGTATCAGTTATTAAGAAAAATTGAAAAATGAGAATTTACATTAATTTTAGAGATTTAAATAAGGTAACACCAAAAGGACAAATATTTTATGCCTGTTGCAAAAATGTTAATCAATGTAATGACAAGAAATAAAATATTAAGTTTTTTAGGTGGATATTATGGATATAATCAAGTTTTTATTGCTAAAGATGATATATGAAATTTTCATTTTGATGCCCTAGGCGCTAGGTACTTATGAATGGTTGATTATGTCTTTTGGTTTGAAAAATGTTAGGACAACATATCAAAGAGCTATAAATTTGATTTTTCATGATTTAATTGGAGATTTTATGTAAGTTTACATATATGATATTGTGATTAAATCTAAATAAAAGAAAAATCTCATTTTGATAAATTAAAACAAGTCTTTGAAAGAATGAGAAATGTTTAAAAATAAACCCATTGAAATGTGCTTTCGATGTAAGTGCAAATGAATTTTTAGGATTTATTTTTGATAAAAAAAAAAGGGATTGAAATCAATCAAAATAAAGTAAAACTAACAATTAAAACTAGTACTCCAAAACAAAAAAGAATTGTTATCTTTGTTGGATAATAATAATTATTTGATAATGTTTATTTCAAATTTGATAGACAAAACTTATCTTTTTTCTTCATTATTGAGATTAAAGAAATAGAGTGAATTTAGATCGGATCATGAGCATAAGGAAGCATTTAAGAAGATAAAATAAATATTGGTCAATACTCCTCGGTTAATATCAATGATTCGAGGAATGTTATTGAAATAACATGTATCAACATAAAAAAAATTACCACAAGTATGTTCGCACGAGAAGACGCAAACGGAGTAGAATGTATTATTTATTATTTGAGCATATTATTAATAGCTGATGAAACTCGATATACTGTAGTTGAAAAATTGACTTTATATTTTTATTATTCTTGTTGTAAACTTAAACATTATTTCAAGTCTTATGATATAATTGTTTTCTCAAAAAATAATATATTAAAGTTATTATTATCTAAACCTATTATACATAATCGAGTTGGTAAATGGGTGCGTGCATTGATAGAATTTTCATTACAAATTGATACATTGAAATTGAAGTTATAGTCTATTTTTTGGTTGATCATATACATATTAAAATAGATGAAATATTTTTAAAGACAAATAGATGGATATTATACCTTGATGGTTCAAGCACAGTGAATGGAACAAGAGTAGTAATAGTAATTATTTCACCTACAAATATTTTTACTAAATTATTATTTGAAATGAAGTTAGGATGCTCTAATAACAAACCTGAATATGGAGCACTATTTTTAGGATTTGAAACATTAATTGAGCTACAAATAAAAATAGATTTAGTTTGAGGAGATTCACATTTAGTCATCCAAAGTAAATTGGGAATATAAATGTTTAAATTCAAATTTGCTTTAATATTTGAAAAAAAGTTTCTATATTGATAAACGAATTTGATGACTTTAGTTTTGAACACATATCTCAAAATTACCCCAAAAAATCGAAGTCTTTCAAATAGATGATAGGAAAATAAAATATAAGGCCAAGAATTATATGGTATTGAATGAGTTATACATTAGAAGTGTGGATGGAGTATTACCTCAATGTTTAGGGAAAAACGAGGTTTATATCATTACAAGAAAATCGCGTATTACCGACGGATATTTACCGATGGATTTGTAATCGTCAGAAAATAATTATTACCGATGGATATATCCGTCGATAAATCCGTCGGTAATTTACATATGAATTTACCGACGAATAACAATTAATTACCGACAGATATATCCGTTGGTAAAATTCATCGGTATATTACAGATGAATATTTTCGTCTGTAAATTAACAATTAGTAAATATTCACCTAATTAAAAAATTAAATATTTTTTATTTAATAATTTAATTTAATCATAATTAGATTAATTTATAATAATTTCTTAAATTAAATAATTTAAAAAAATAAATATTTAATTATATATAAATATATAAAAATATTTAATTATATATAAATATACAAATATATAAATAAATATATAAATATATATATATATATATATATAAATATATATATATATATAAATATAAATATATATAAAATATAAATATATAAATATATAAATATATAAATATATAAATATATAAAAATATAAATATATAAATATATAAATATATAAATATATAAATATATAAATATATAAATATATAAATATATAAATATATAAATATATAAATATAATTTATTTGTAAATTATTATAAAAAAATTCGGTAGCTTAATGGTTGGAATATCAGTCTCTAACTCTAAGGTACTGGGTTTGAATCTTGTCAATGATTATTACCGACTGATTTTTGTTTATTAAAATTTCTTATAGTGTATTATTATGATGGGAGTACACAATGAAAGTTGTGAAGCCCACACAATTGGTGAAAAAATGAATTAGGTATTATATATATAATAAAAGAATTATTGGCTATCCATTTTAAAATATTGTATTAAATATGTTAAGTTTTATGATAATGTAAGTTTGGAAAATTTCAAAATGTGCCAGCAAGTGAGTAGTATTTCATGGTTAATACTATTATTACACCTGTAATACTTCAGAATTTAAAATTTATAATACTCATAAATTAATATATATATTCTTAACTATTAATATTATATGTGGTTTAAGCCTTTAGCAGATGGCTACTTGCATTGTTAATCAATTAATGAATTACACACCAAATATTTGATAACTGGGACCATAATTTGGTGTTACATTACTGCTTTTATATTTCTTATTTAACATCCAACCTAAAAAACCACAGTCTTATCAACACAACCTAAACAAAATCCCACTTCTCCTGATATGTTAATTTCTTTCGCTTTCCTTTATCAAGTGTTTATTGCCAATTTCGGTCCTTTATCAAGTTTTTGTTATTGGAAGATAATTTTTTAATTAAAAAGAAGGCAAGGGCAGAAATGATTTTTCCTATTCTTTTCATAATAAAAGGTCGACCTTGCAAAGTAAATGTGCTTCAGCCTTCTTTGTAGTTCTTATCATCAATCACCATTCATATTCTCCCAACTCCAATGGCTTTGACAAGTGAGAAACAAATTAATGAAGAAAATGAGTTTATTCTCTCCCTTCCCAGAACAATAGGTTTGGCTGCAGCTTCCCATCTACATCTTTTTCAAGAATTTTGGTACCCATCGACTGTCATTCAAGGAGTATACAATTTTCAAAAATATTTTCATGCAAAAGACAATGATGTTTTTGTTGCCAGTTTTCCAAAATCAGGTACTACTTGGTTGAAAGCTCTGACTTTTGCTATTTTGAACCATCAACGTTTTCCCTCTTTTGAAAACCATCCATTACTCACTTCCAATCCTCATGAACTTGTGCCTCCCCTTGAATTCATTCTGTCTCGTGATTTGGATGATCAAATTCTTAACTTATCCAACATGAGTGAGCCAAGGCTTTTGGGTATCCACACACCATTCCCTTCATTACCCAAAGTCCGTCAAAGAATCAAACTGTAAGATAATTTATATATGCAGGAATCCATTTGACACTTTTGTTTCAGCTTGGGAATTCTTTCCTAAAATCAAATCAGTGCCTTTACCTACGTTAGCAATGGAGGAAGCATTTGAGAAGTTTTGCGATGACACACTACTACAAAATATACTTTCTACGTCGTCATTTAACGTCGGTTATAGCTGAGACGACGTAGAAAGTACTTTCCACGTCGGTTCCCAGATGAACCGACGTTGAAAGTTGAATATTAAACACATTCTACGTCGGTTCTTAGTCAACCGACGTAGAATTTCTACGTCGGTTCCCATATAAACCAACGTTGAAAGTCTTTTTTTTTTTTTTTTTACTTATTGACACATTCCACGTTGGTTCATAGAACCGACGTGGAAGGAACCAACGTGGAAAGTCTTTTTTTTTTCACCCAAAAACTCACTTAATTTTGAAAATTGTCATTGGCAGGATTCAAACTCAATACTTTAGAGTTGGAGGCTGATACTCCAAACACTAAGCTACTAGAATTTTCTCGATAATAACTTACAAATAAATTATATTTATATACAATTAAATATATATCCATGTAAATATATATTTATTTGTATATATTTTCTGGAAAGTATTTTTATTTTTATTTTCAGCCAAAAATTCTCTTAAGTTAATGAATTGTCACTGATAGCATTTGAACCCAAGTATTTTAGGGTTGAAAGTTAATATCCCAACGATTAAACTACTATAATTTTTTGATAATAACTTACAAATAAATTATATTGGTATTTTTCGATCGAGGGTGAAAGTGTGATTGACTCTTGCTTGAGTGAAAATATGTTAAAGCTCACGGAAATTCACTTACTCAAGTCTCGCTTGAGCGAAAATTGGTATTTTTCGCTTGAGAGCAAATAACGCGTTTCCCAAATTTATTTTATATCATTATATAAATAAAATTATAAAGATTATATTCTGTCATTAAATTACAAACTCATATAAAGATACCTGCTCACAAATTTAGCATCAAATTTTGAAAACCCACTTGACACACACTTTCACTTTTGAGTGTGCCCTCACATCCAACATATAAATATATAACTATATAAATATATCAAAATATATAAATATATTTGTATTTATATATTTATATATTTACACGGATATATATTTATTTGTATATAAATATAATTTATTTGTAAGTTATTATCAGAAAATTCTAGTAGTTTAGTGGTTGGAGTATCAGCCTCCAACTCTAAAGTACTGGGTTTGAATCCTGCCAATGACAATTCTCTTAAAAAATTAATAAACTTCTAAAAAATATAATATAAAGAGATGGAGGACCTAATAAAAATATAATATAAAGGGAGGGGAGACTTCTAGATAAATAAAAGGGGGTAAATGGGTTGTAAACACTAGTACAAAAAACACTTTTAACATCGGACTTTTTACATCGGTTGTTAAAGAACCGATGTAGAAATTTTTTTAAAGCCTTTCCACATCGGTTCAGATGGGAACCGATGTAGAAAGTACTTTCTACATCGGTTCCACCATGAACCGATGTGGAAAGTGCTTTCTACTCTGATTTAAAATAATTCTGATCGGTCATAAACTCATTCTGATCGATCATCCAGTTCTGATCGGTCATAAAACCATTCTGATCGGTCATCTGATATACTATTTTACTTTCTAATGTGGTTGTATATGTGGTTGTATACAGGGAATTGAAAAATGTGGTTGTATATGATAGCGGTTAAATCTTAACCGCTATTATAATAGCACTTCTAATAGCGGTTAAGTCTTAACCGCTATTATATAGCACGTCTAATAGCGGTTAAATCTTAACCGCTATTATATATATTCAAATATGATCGATCATTTGAAAATGTAATCGATCATAACCAAAAAATGTGGATGTCGCTCGAGCGAGACAGTGTCGCTCACGCGAAAAACCACCCGAGAAGGCCAATTTTGTGCAGGTGGCGTCGCTCGAGCGAGACCAGTGTCGCTCAAGCGAAATACAACCCGAGAATGCCAATTTTGTGCAGGTCGCGTCGCTCGAGCGATCTTATTGTCGCTTGAGCGAATGTTGACCTGCGTAAACGTCGATCAAAGTTAGCCGGATAATGTAACATGGGAGAGCTCATGTTAGAATCGGATGTCGCTCGAGCGAGTATAGTGTCGCTCAAGCGAAATACAACCTGAGAAAGTGCTTTCTACTCTGATTTAAAATAATTCTGATCGGTCATAAACTCATTTTGATCGATCATCCAGTTTTGATCGGTCATAAAGCCATTCTGATCGGTCATCTGATATACTATTTCACTTTCTACATCGGTTCCCCCATGAACCGATGTGGAAAGTGCTATCTACTCGATTTAAAACAATTCGATTGGTCATAATCTCATTCCGATCGATCATCCGGCTTCGATCGGCCATAAAGCCATTCTGATCGGTCATCCGATATACCATTTTACTTTCTACATCGGTTCCCCCATGAACCGATGTGGAAAGTCTTAAAAAAAATAATAATAAAAATTTTAGACAAGTAAGCCCTAGACTCCACTCTTGCCCTTACAGACTCGACTCCCGGACCCAATTACGGACTCGACTCCCTCCGGAATTCTTCCCTTGCTCCTCCTAGCCATTACCAAATTCATTCTCGCAGTAGCGAAAACCACCGTCTCCTTGCCCCTATCGCAGTAGCGAAAACCACTGTCTCTCCCATCTCCTTCCCCCAATCGAATCCCTAACCTCCGTTTCCCCAATCGAATCCCCAAGCGAAAACCACCCTTGTCGTGCACCAAGAACTGCGACGCGCACCAGGAACTGCGACGCGCACCAAGAACTGCGACGCGCCACCCTCGTCTTCACCTCTCTGAAACCCTCTAGAAGCTCCTCCTCATTGCACCTGCGCACCTTCGATCTCGTCGCGAACCGGAGGTGATTCGGACCAGGTCCGTGGGTCTATCCTATTGGCTTCTCATCCTTGTTTTGTCAATTACCTTTATGCATTTTCCTTGATTCTGGATTGTTTTGTTTGGTCGTGGACTGATTCTCGCTCGGGTTTAATGTATGTAGACATGTTTATTCTGGGTTTTGTATTATTATTTCCGTTTAGTTTGACTTGAATATGTGATTTTAACTTGGTTATTCTCGTGGGGTTGAGATTGGTGTTATCCAAGCCCCGTTGGGTTGGTTGATGTCGCTCCGGTCCGAGTCTCTTAGCGGAAGAGTTAAGGCTATGGGTTTCCACGCTGGGGTGTAGGGCTTTGGGGTATTGATTATATTTGGTTCTCTTGTTTTTCATTTGGGTTTGTTTCTTATGTTGTTGATTTAGGTTTGTTCTTTGTGTTGTTTGTTTTGTTCCTGGAGTTTTACTGTTGTTCCAGTACTATTTCAGTTTGGATTATAGTTTGAGTTGTTTAAGTTTGTTGCCTCTGAATAGAGGTAATTCCATTTTCACACTAAGCAAAGACGTCATGTACCTATTGATATGGATCGGAGTTGGATAAATGCCAAACGTATAGAAGAAGAATATGAATTAGGGGTTGAAGAGTTCTTAGAGTTTGCACAGAGAAATGTGGGTAACAATAGAGGTCTCTTTTATTGTCCTTGTGTGAAGTGCTTAAATTTAAGACAACTAAGTGTGAAGGATATAAGAGAGCATCTCCTTTGTGATGGATTTTGCAAGAGTTACACTAAGTGGATTTGGCATGGGGAAGTAGTAGATTTCCCAATGGCTTCAGAGACAACTGAAATCCAGAAAGAAACCAATGATCGACTAGACCCAACTGTTTATCCTTTGTCCTAAACGTAATGAGACTATTTTTTTATGCTCTTTATGGAATAAACCCAAAAAGGAAATTAAACAGATTATTGATGTGTAAGTATACTAACACCCTTATATATGAATCTGTCTTTGTGACTAATTAAATACTCTAGGTCTGGTTCATGACAGATTAAATAACTGTAAAGATTTGTGCTTCACTCCTTTGAGCTAAATAGTATCCAGATTTTACTTTTTATATTCATAAGTAAGTACTTCATAATAATTGTGCTTCATTCCCAAATCCCGATCCAGACAACATTCAATTGTTTAAGATAAGTATACTAACACCCTTGTATAATATTTCATTCATTTCATTTTAAGTTCCACATGTCTTAATATGAAGTATTTTACATTTAATCTTTTATAGGTGTATAGAAGCATACTCAGTCATGGAGGGTAAGCCTAAAAAGAAACCCACATGGATACTTCCACGTGTAAGGACATTATCTGTATTTAATGTTTTTTTTTTCTTATAGTGTAATAAGCAAAAAGGAAGTTGGGAGTGCGGATATTATGTGATGAGACATATGTTAACAATCATCACAGCAAATATCACAGATTCATGGAATTTGGTATGTGTTATGACTATATCTATGTCATTGACATATATTTGCCTACTTCTGCTTATCTGAAATGTTTTTTTTTTGTTTGTAGATATTCGATGATGGTCATCCAATAAGTGAAGCAGAGATTGATGACATTAGACGAATTTGGGCAGATTTTGTTATTAAGAACTATAGTCGTGATTGAATTTAATTGTGAAACATTAGGACTGCTAGTTTCTTTGTATATATAAACTTAGAATACAATACATGTTTATTGTTTGTTGATACAATACAATGTAGATATATAATATACATTATGTTTACTTGTGTGTTAATGCATATCCTCTATATATAGATTAACATTCTGAGTAGCTGTAAATATTTAAAATGCTGTACAGGTTCTGAAAAATCAAAAACTAAAATTCGTATTTAAAAAAAAATATGACTTTCTACATCGGTTATGGCCTAGAACCGATGTGGAAAGTCAGACTTTCTACATCGGTTCTTAACCGATGTTAAAACTCACCAACTTTCTACATCGGTTGTATCTACATCGGTTCTAGAACCGATGTAGAAAGCTGCTAAGAACCGATGTTAAAGGTGTTTTCTGTACTAGTGAAATAAATAAAAATTATTAATTTAAAAAACCATACTTTCAACGTTGGTTCAATAACCGACGTTGAAAGCTTTATTTGTAGTAGTGATTGTTAGATTCTCTATACAGTGTTTTTTTTTTTAATCGGTGAGAGTAAAATATAAAGAT